AAACAGCGGGGCAGGCGGCTGGGATGGATTGGGAGGGAAGGAGACAGAAATCCAGGGTGGCCTTCGTTCGGAAGAGTTCTACATGCCGATACAATATGGGAAAGGGTGTGTGTGTGTCCCATCGGGGCATCTACGGACGCTACCCAACAGCGATGCCTGCATGGAGGAGACAGAAGCCACCTCTTCGTCTTTGTTCACCAAGAAAGAATGGCAGAAAATCACAACCTGAAAAGGGCAGGGTTGGCCACAATGACTGTCCGCTGAGAACAACTCAGAGTCCTGTGATGCCTTGAAGACTAACACATGGGTGACCCCCCAGAGCTTGCAAAAGAGGCTGCCGGGAATTACTGAATCCTAGAATGGCATAAATGTGCTTCCATTAATATAACTAGTTATAGAGATATAGTCTGGTGTACCCGGATGCAAATATAAAGCCTTTTAGACAACCTAAGAATCTAATAAATGCCCTACAATAAATTGACTTGACTCATTGAATTACATAAAAAAACGGGCAACTCAGCCGTGGGGGAGAGGCGCCCAGAAATTGGCACCCAGAAATTCTCCTCACCAACATGGCCCTTTCCATCAGCTTTTCAATTGGGAAGACAGAACAGGAGAGGGTGAATACTATCAACCAGGGTGGGTAAAGTGAGGGGGTGTGGCCTAGAGAAATGAGGCGGGGCTTAGGGGAAACGGGGAGGCTCTGACTGAGGACCCTGGCCGCCTGCGGCCGACCTGCGGATTTCCCATTTTTGTTACGTGTCTTTATCTACTCAAGACGCAAATCCTAAACTGAATCTGGCCATTCTTATTCCAAGATAAATATTTCTAGGATTGTAACCTAAAAAAACAGTTGAGGTGTGGTTGCTGTTGTTTTTTTAAGGTCTTTAGTTCAAGCAATTAATCAATCCGAAGTTGCCGGCCCTGATCATTATCGCTTTATTTATTATTTTTCTTGTGTGAAGAAGGCACCAAGCTGCCTTTTGTCCTCCCTGTCTTAATCTAAGCCACATTTTAATTCCCCCTGGCAAGCTCTTTCAATTAGCCAGCACAAATAACCCAGGCTGCTTGATGTGTTCATTAACGACATGGTTTCTCACCCCCACACATACACACACACCCCAAATAACCCAGGCTGCTTGATGTGTTCATTAGCGACATGGTTTCTCACCCCACACACACACACACACACACCACACCCCACCCCAATCACCGCGTGACAGGCTGGATGACAAAACTGTCTCAGGTCGATACGGAGACCTGGAACAAACACATTTCAAGCCAAGGAAACGCTTGCTGTGTAATCAGAATTGATACCACCCACCCGTGGGTTTGCGCCCGAACCTGATTTAACGGTTAAAGCCCCAAATGGAGAAAATAAGGCCATTTCAAAACAATTAGGAACAAGAGCACAAAGGGTGGCCCTCCAGAGAAGTAAACCCACTGCACAACTGCCCTTATCATCATCGCCATCATCTTGGATCAAAACAATTAGGAACAAGAGCACAAAGGGCGGCCCTGCCAGAGAAGCAAACCCACTGCACAACTGCCCTTATCATAATCATCGCCATCATCTTAGATCTGCAGAGCTGGAACGGATCCTATGGATCATCGAGTCCAACCGTTCTCAAGCAGGCCCGGGGGGGGATTGAACTCCCAACCTTTGGCTCTGCACCCAGATGCCTAAACCACTGAGCTAACCCATTATGCATTTGGTTAACTGGATTTTGGTCTGCCCACCTTGCTACTTACCTACCTACCTAACTACCCGTATCCTTTTTCTGCCCCACACACGCTTCAGCAACTTAGAATAAACTAAAATTGTTAAAAGACAAATTTAAAATATTGTTTTTAATAAAGCCAATCATCATCATCATCATCTTAGAATTGCAGAGCTGGAAGGGACCCTGTGGATCACCGAGTCCAGCCTTTGTCAAGGAGGCAAAGTAGGGAATCGAACTCTTAACTTCTGGCTCCACACTGAGTTATCCCACAATTAGCATTCCTTATAAGCGGATCTAAAACATTCTCTAAATACCAGTTTTAGAAACCAGTCACTGAGACCTTCAAAACAATACAGCTTCTTGGTAGAAACGCAACAGAAATAGAGGCAGCCTAGCCCCTCCCCCCCTTAGGAAGGAGTTCCACAATTCAGAAATTAAATTTGTTGGGCGGGTAGAGAACAAATTTCTCACATCCTCTCCAACTTTGCACACAAATCGAATCAAACTGGGGCCTAAATAATTCCAGACCAAACCGGGATACATTCTGAAGTCCCAAACTGGCCGGTCAAATCGAACCCAGTGAGCTGTGCGCCGCCCTAACGCAAAGTAGAATCCGCATCAGCTACCGAGAGGAGACATAGCATAGCGATAGAACAACTGCTTAGTGTGCTGCTTCAATTCCCAGCATCTCCGGTTTTAAAAGATCAGATCGCCGTTGACCTGTTTTCACTGCAGACATTTCTCCAGTCTGTGTCAACTACCCTGAGCCCCCCCAAGAGATTTTTCAGGCTTCGTTTTACAAACCGTTGATTTTTCTAGTTACTACTTCCCATTCATTGCAAGACCCTCCTTTTCTACAGAGAAGGACACGATTCTGTTCAAGCAAAGGGAGGGAGTGGCACGTGTATCCACGCTTGTCCATGGACCCTTTGCTTATGACAATGTTCGTGTTGAAAATGTTTGACGGATGCTGTTTCTGAACTTCTGTAAAATTGGTTTTCTGCATCCAAAGAAAAGGGGAGAAAAAAGTGGGGGTGTGGAAAGAGAGAGAGAAAGGGAAAGAAATAGTGTGTGGCTCAGCGTTCAGAAGGTCCAGGAAGGATGCTCGAGGGACCACAATGGCCTTCTGTAGCTAGCCTCAGCACATTCGTCATGAGCGGACATACCTTCCAAAGTGCACTTGACTTAATCTCAAGAGGCCGCTGCATTGCTGACTTCTGGAAATTTCACTAAGCAGATGGCCGGCCGGTTCCTCTTGGAATCAGCCCGGGAAGACTGTCTCATTTTTTCAGGGTAGAAACATGAGAGGTAGAAAGAGGGGAAGAGCTTGGAAAAGTTTATTTTGGGGATGACAACTCTCCCAGCCTCCAAGTCTGCATGGCTGGTTTTGGGAAACAGGTTTGAAAAAGGAGCTTTTCTCAAGTTTTGGGAAAGTACAATACTTGGAAATGTTCTCTCTTTTTTTCAGAATGGGCAGTTTCGGGAGTTTTGGATCAGAAAAGTAACTTTTTCCAAACTCAGGGAGGAAATGGGGGGGCAAGCATTATTCAGCCCACTTTTTCTGTGGAAAGTAAGAACCAGCAAATGCCATGTAAACACAGACAAATCTATGGGCTTCTGTTTCTTAAAGTTCCAATTCAAAATTTGTCTCAAACTTGGCTCTTTCCTCAAAGTCAGCACAAGAATTTGCTGATATATTTGTTTGCCTATTTTCTAAGACATGCATTTTTCTATACAGTTTTACCTAATCTCTATATGCTTTTTTGCAAGCCATTTTGCTCACATACTACATTTTACATGGTTGACAACTATTGCTCTATAGAGCATTTTCTGACCATTATGGAAGCTGCAATGGGAAGGAGACACATACTGCGATTTGCATCCATCTATTTCAACTATTTTTGCAAAAAAGCCCGAGATCATTAGAATTGTACCCTTTCGGACAGCCACCTTTTCCCCTTCCCTCTCTCCCTTGTGAACGCATTACCCAAGTCTCATTTACCTTTGCCTAACAGACAATGTTGCCCTTCTTTAGTTCTACCCTGCAGAAAAGGGCTCCTTTCTCAAAATTTACTTTCTGAAATGGCATTTTGGAAAAGCTTGCTCATGCCATCTAGAGGCCACACGGCTTCTTGAGAAGCAGAAGAGTCTACAAAACTTAACTTTCTGAAAAAAAGGAGGCCTTCTTTGGTTTGTTTTTAATTTTCCCCTGCTTTTGGTTTGAATTCATTCAATATATTTATATCCCACTTCTCTAAGGACTTCAAAACCACCCCCTTACTCACCACAATAACCACTGGCCTAAGGCCACACCGTGAATTTCGTGGTTTGGTGCCACAACTGGCTTGCTGATACAATTCAAGGTAGCATTTTGAATTTTTATTCTTTATTTTTATTCTTGATTTATATTTCTTGATTTATTTAGCATATCCCACCTGGGCCACTCAAGACCATTTACAATCTAGGTTTTTTTAAAAACAGTTTAAATTTAAAAAGGAAAATAAATCATTCAGGGAGGTGTGGGGAAAAGGATCTATACAAGGTCTTCCACCTGCTTTTTATTAAGAAACAGCTCTGAAATGAGGGGACAAATAATATAAGTACTCAGTTCACTTGAACGGCAGCTGGCTGTGTTTCCAGCTGGTTTTCTCTTTAAAACACACAAAATTGTCTTTAACAGGCAAAAGCAGGCTGAGTCAAGATCCTTAGAGTTAAACTTTAAAAGAAAAGTCCCAGATAAGGGGAAAGTAAAAAATAAATAAAGTAATTTGGAACCACACGACCATAAATGGTTTTTTAAAATGGTTTCCCAAAAATAATTAGCCCCAATTTCTTGTGGTTCTTAAAACTCCCAAAGAAAGGGAAACAGATTATGGATATTTGTGTGTGTTTTTCCAAATTTCATTCCAAAAAATAACCCAAAAAGTGTTCCTGTTTTTGCTCTTAAAGCATCCTTCCCAACATTGGTAAAGGCCAGAATGTTATTTTATTTTTAACATAAAACAAATCAAGGCAGCCCATACCTTAAAAAGTGGGTTTCAAACATTCAAAAGCACCGATCCGTAGAGGTGGGTGGTGGAAGAAGAGAATAAAGCCCTGGCTGTTTTTCCTTTAAAAAAATCAACCCACAAACAGATTTGTATAAGGAAGAAAACGTCATTTTCACCCAAATCTCTAAAACCATAGCCGCCCATTTTGACCAAAACCAGCAGAGTTACATTTCAACAAACCTGATTCCGAACACGATCCTTTTTGCTCCTTTTTTTTGTTTGTTTTGACTTTGCTGTCCCCTTTTCGTTGCAGATTTTTCCACCATTTCCCCCTTTCATCTTGTCTCTCAAAAGGCCGACCTGAAGGGGAAAGGCAGGGTAAAAAAACAACTTTTAAATAAAACAAAACCAAACGAAGCAAAAACGAAATGAAACGAACTCTTTATCCAAATAAAATTTAAAAAATATTGTTTAAAGAAAGAGAAACCATTCTTACTGTTGAGGTAATCTGGGCTGATTCAGCTAAAAAGTGCAGAGTCTCTCTCTCCTCTGAATTTCTGGCTATTTGCTGGCTACCTCAGGGAGCCAAATGTATTTTTTTCTTTCTTTTTTAAAACACATCCTTGAGGGTTGAAATAAATGCCTCTTCTGAGGAAAACCTTGGAAGGGGAGGGAGCCAGGGTTGAGGAGAAAGGCCTCCTTCCTCTTTCCAGGCCTCAGAGACCCTTCTGAGCATGCTCAGAAAAAGCAGCAGGGAACCAAAAAATAAAAATAAAATAATGACGTGGGTTGGAGGGGTTGTCTTATTCTCTCATCCTCTCTCTCTGTCTCTCTCCTTCCCTCCAGAGCCAGGCCTTTTCCCTCAGACTTCAAGCCCCTTCCCTAAAACTTCAAAGGAAGGCGGCCCACCATTTTGGGCTGCCTGAGGCCGCCGACAAAATGGCCGCCCTGGTGCCCTCCTTGTGGGGGGGGGAGGCTTCTTCTTCTTCTTCGGAGGCCCCATGGGGGGAGCAGGCCCGAGAGGCTCCCACGCCTGAGGCGGACCCCCACCCCCCACCCCCGAAACCTCCTCATGCAATCCACTTAAGAAGTGGACATCTTTGGGGAGTGGGGGGGGGAAATGTCGTGTGTGGGTGTCTGTGGGAGACACTAAACTTGAGAAAAATGGAAGGGGAAAAAAAGAGAGAGAGAGGACCTGAGGCCAGGGTTGCCCCATTAATATACTTCTCATAGATAGGTAGGTACTGTAGATAGATGGATTAGAAAGGAATGAGGCCAGGGTTACCCCATTAATATACTGTATATATAATGAATATGCACCAGAAGCACACATACATAGGCATTCATCGGTGTGGGTGTGGGTGTATGCGCGTGCATGTGTGTGCTCGTGCACACACACACACACATATATATTCCTTGGGCAACCTTGGTCTCATGTTCTCTCTTTCTTCTCATAGATAGGTAGGTACTGTAGATAGATTAGGAAGGAAGGAAGGAAAAGAGATTTTTAGATAGATAGATTTCACTTTATCACTTTAAATGTATAATTATAAGCTTAGATAGATAGATAGATAGATAGATAGATAGATAGATAGATAGATAGATAGATAGATAGATAGATAGATAGATAGATAGATAGATGGATGGATGGATGGATGGATGGATGGACGGACGGACGGACGGACGGACGGACGGACGGACGGACGGACGGACGGACGGACGGACGGACGGACGGACGGAAGAAATAGGTATAGATCTCTATACCTGGCCTTGGCTGCCAGATGGGAGATAGATAGATAGATAGATAGATAGATAGATAGATAGATAGATAGATAGATAGATAGATAGATAGATAGATGGACGGACGGACGGACGGACGGACGGAAGAACAGGGTCATCGAAGCGGCCAACGTGAATTTGACCCAACTCCGGGAGGCAGTGGAAGACAGGAGGGCCTGGCGTGCTCTGGTCCATGGGGTCACGAAGAATCGGACATGACTTAACAACTAAACAACAACAACAACAAAGCCATCAGGTGGAGAGTATAAGTGGTCATCCACCCAGTTTGCCTTAATAGCAGAAGGCAAACGAACAAAGCAGGAGAAGATGAGGGAGCTGCCCACGATCTAGAGAGGACTCCAGGTAGAGGGTCTCCAACTCAGTAATAGCTGCGCAACACAAGCACAACCACGCCGGGCTTTCCGGAAACATCTGTGTTGCCCTCGCTATGCCTTAAATGGCTTTTCATTCCATTGTGTCCCAAACAATAGCCTCGTTTGGCTAATTGTGTTTTAATTTAATTTAAAACAATTATATTTCAATGATAACCGGGGCTTCCCCTTCCAGCAGGCTGTCCTTCATAGGATCCATTACTCACACTGCATTTTTATTCATTTATTTATTTAATTATTTCCCTGCCTTTCTCCCAGCAGAGGGATCAGAAGCAGCTGACGAAAACATTTTTCTTTTGTTAAGAAAGCAAATATTAAATAAATTTAAATGACAATAAATTTATTAAAAGCCATTTAAACACGTCCGTCTGTTCATCTAATATACCTGGAGGACGAGAGATTTCCTCTCCCATATAAAACCTTAAGAAATTCCCTTTTTTTAAAAAAAAATTGGATGTCTGATTCTTCCACTGGAGTACTGTTGAAGGTGGAGTGGACCAACGGCAGTGCTCCAGATGTTGCCAGATGGCATAGACAGCCAACAGCTGGAGGGTCAGCATCTGGTGTGCTGGGACTTTGCCTGCCCATACTATCTAGCATGCTGGGACAAGTGGAAGGCAGTAGGAAAAGAGGAAGACCCAGTAACACGAGATGGACTGATTCCCTCAAGGAAGCCATGGGTTTGAATTTGCAAGAGATGAGCAGGGCAGTGGAAGATGGACTTTTCAGAGATTCCTCATTCATGAAGCTGCCATAACTCGGAGGCAACTTGACGGCGCATAACAACAGCCTAGATAGTTCTCCAACCGTACACCAGAATCCACCCATTCATGGGTCTCACCTGTTCAAAAACAAAACCTGGAGAGCAACAGATGGCCTTACCTCAGCCACTCCGTGGCCCATTATCCCCCCTCCCAATAAGATCTGATTGAACAGATCAACATGCATTCCTGCCCTTGCCACCAGGCCTTTAAAACCCAGTTTCTCCCCCCCAAAAAATAGATTTTTTTCCTCCAAAGCTGTTTTTCAAAACAGATTTCCTCCAGTCCCAAAATGAGATCATGATTGTAAATTAAAGTATAATTAGCCTTTATGCTTTTATATTCATTAACTCTTCTCTGTTAATGATGCAGAGGCTGGAGTGTGAAAGCCGGGCATTATGAAACCACATCCAGGAAATAAAATAGTGATTTAGATAATGGCCAGAATGTATCGCTTGCTACTTGTACGTAATTAAACAAATGCTTCATTTAAACTTGGAAACATGAATGAATGTTGATTAACCCCCCAAACCCAATGGATGTGCGTCGCGATTCGGCGAAGCGGCTGGCATTGCAGGATTGGCACACGCAGAGCAAGGCAGGGAGGTGGGAAAGGGGCCCGATCCAGGGAGAGACACCTGCGTTGGGCAGGTACGGCCATCAGTCTCGGTACCGATCAAGAGGTGTGAAGAGAGGAAAACATAGCAGAAGCCCACTTAGGGAGTGTAGTCCTCGAAACGTAAGTGGCAGGAAAATCTTTTCCCAACCTGGGATGGTCTAAGGATATTTGGACTACAAATCCCATCACTTGATGGGAGACACGGTCCAACACATTAAAAAAAAAGCTGATTATTATTGGGGGGGCATCCATAAGCCAGCCATTTCTCTTACTCAAGGAGACAGGCAATGTTACATGCCAAAGATAGCTTTGCTAAGTCTTCTGATCTTCCCCTGCCCATAAGAATAAATCTATTTATAATCAGCGGCACAAATCAACTTCTCAATCTGTTTATTTGCCTGCTGTTGTCCTGTCTCTCCAGGCCGCCTTTCCAGAGAACTGGCGCTCAAGGTGGCTTACGAAATAGTTCCGAAACCAATTTTAAAAATAAAATAAAATATTAAAAAACCCCAGCAAGCATTAAAATAGAATTAAATTCGTTGCAATATTAAAATTTAAATTTGAAGCACTCCAGTATAGTCAATTTTAAAAAAATGTAAAGTATCGTTTGCCTTTAAAAAGAGAATTAGCTTTCACATTTTGCTAAAACCCAAGGGTCTGGTATATGTTTTGATATACGATTATAGGAGTTATGGACTGAAGGCCCGTCCAATTTAGCAGAATCCTACAATATATTCCAGAACGGAGTTTGGGGAAGTTAATTGGGCTGCTCTTCCGCTCTCCAAATCCTGCAGCTATCTATGGTGGTTGGGGGTTTCATAGGCCAACCAAATAACCTCTCCATGCGCTTTTCCAGAATCCTATGTAACACAGAAGAAACGTTAGCCCGTGAGTCCTTGCACCTCGTATAATCTTGTCAGCGGCCATTTTGAAAAATAGGAGGGGAAGGGTTGAGTTTTGGATCTTGAGTTCAAATCCTTGTTTGCGGTGAAGCTGCCTGAATTATCTCGGTCTTTTATCTCTCTCCTCAAGCACTACAATATGATAAGAGGCCAAGTTCAGCTCATCATAGGTTAGTGTTATCACCTGAACTCTAAACTCTGGTTAATGTTAACTATGGTTTAGTAAACAAGCCACCATTTTTAACCGGGTGGCTCTCAAACAAGCCGTAGTTAGAATGTGGCCTGTTTTGTTGTGTGCTGGCCGTAGAAAGCCAGCGCTTGTTCAGAAAGACAAACTAACATTGTCAACTTTTGCTTCATGAATGTGCGGTAAGAAGAAGTAAAGGTCCTTATATCATCACAATAAGCCATGGTTTAGACCGGAGTCCCATCGGGTCCAGCAGACTCTTACAACTATGGTTTAGTGTAAATCCTGTGAACCACATGGTTTAGCGTGAATCCTCCTTTATGACTTAAACCAGGAATATGTTTTAATGTACACTGATCTTCCTCAGAGGATTCGTAAAAATAAGATAAAATTCTTAATATCTTGCTCTGAGTTCTCTAGAGGAGGAATACGAAGCACAGTGATAAAATAGGAATAAATTAGCAAATACGTGAAATATTATCGTTACTAATAACAACCACAATAATAAACATATTACAAGAAGCAAAGGGGGGGGAAGGGTAATTGTGTCATTTGAATACAGCGACAAGAGAAAAAGAATTTATTCCTCAGGTGAAGGAAGAAATAAAGAAGTTTGTAAGATTAAAAACAACACTTTTACTTCTGTGAATCCCCATTACGTACACAAGGAGCCAGGAAAGAGAATTGAAACCAAGTCTCTAGGTCCTTATTCCTGGGAAGGGCGAAGAGCTGTCCTTTGCGCAGCCGGGTCCCTCCAGCTCTGCGATGGTGGTTGTCCTTATGAATAAAACGGCATTCAGGAAGAAGCGGAGCCCTCTGCACATGCTCAGAGGCCTTCAGACCTATATTTAAGTGGCAACAAAAGCTGATTTGGGGAACATGCTTTTCAGCAGCCAGGGGCTGTGAAACAATTCTCTCCAGTCCACACACACCCCCGTTTTTATTTTTCTCCTTCCCCTCTTGGCCGTGGATAATGCGTCCCATCGGCCTGTTGAACTTGGGGGGTGCGCGAATTGGCCACGGAGTCGCGCCACCCGGTTCCAAGGCTCAGCAAAGGCCTCCGGCGACTCCGAGCCGTGGGAGACGAGCCCTTAATGGCCGGCCTCATTATCCGGCCAGCGGGGAGCCTTCAGCCAGGTGGCAGTGAAGGATGGCCAGCCTCCCCCTGCCACGGCATCGTCCTCCTGCCGGCGCTTGGAGCTGTCCATCAAAGCCCCTGTCAAAGCCCGCCCGGCAGGGGCGGCGTGGCCTTCAAGGAGGAAAAGGGATCAACCTGAGCAGGCCGGTCTCCAAAGCTGGAGGTCCGTAGGGCGGAAAAGCTTGGCCACAGTGGCCGTTCCGGGCACGATGCGCTCCGGGGGCGCACCAAGAAAAAAAACGCACAAACGATGCAATGCCACCAGAAAAAGGAACCATGGCTTGCAAACCTTGGAGCCAGCCCGCTGCCTTCGGTGGACGCCTTTTGTGGCCAATTCGGAAACATGGGCTACGTGCGGGGTGGCCTCTGGACAGTGTGAGGACGCAGGAGTCCAGGCGTGAATCTCGAAATGAACCACGCAGGGCGAAACCACCTCACAGAGGGTATCGGGAGGATCACGTAGGAAATAAGCCCACACATCTGCCCTTGGAGAACGGCTGCCCCTTTGTGGAGCAGGGAGCCCGATCCACTGGGGTCCCGTCGGATTTGGCAATGCTCCCTTTCCAGGGATGCAGGAGGCGAATTTAAAGTGGTTGCTTTTAAAGGCCCAGCCGTACCTAAGAGCCATGTTTCTTAAACTTTGCATTTAGGGTTACTGAGGGATTAGATCGAGAGACTCCTGGGTTTTTGTTTTTAAATAGCCCTTTCCAAACTTTTGATTTGTTAGTATTCCTCTCTCTCTCTCTCTCAAACACACATAATCTCTTTCTCTCTCTCTCTGCCTTTATATCCAGGCCTTCATCCAGAAGAGGATGGGAGGAAGTAAGGAAAAGGGAAGGGAAGGGAAGGGAAGGGAAGGGAAGGGAAGAGGGAGGAAGGGCAGAAGGAAGGAAGAGAAATAGGAAAGGAAGGAAGGAAGGAAAGGAAGGAAAAGAGAGAAAGAAAGAAAGAAGCTGATGATGGAAGGAAAGGCAGGAAGACAGTCTTAGGACATGGAATCTACCACTAACGTAGTTAAGGAACAGGATCCCTTGGCATCTACTCACGCCATTTGCGAGATCTCCCCCCCAGGCGCATTTTCTCTGCCTCCCCCAAACCCAAGTGGGGCGTAACTCCTCTGCTCCTTCTCTCTGCCGGCCTCTTGGCTCAAGCACCTTCCCCCTTCCCCAAATTCATGCTTCCAGGTATAAGATTTAATGAAAGGCACAATAAGAAGTGAGACAATTAGAATTTCTGCCTCATTATCATGGTAATCTTATCAGTGGGATAATGAGGTATTAATGGAGATTTAATGTGCCTCTCATAACACAGTCCCTTGGAGAAAACACATAAGGAAATTGCTGTAAATCCACTTAATGATGGAAAGGTCCCTCAGCGCCATCTTCCAGGGGATGAAAAATGCTGGAAGCGTCTGAGAGAGAGATTCAAGGTCAATCGTACGGCGGGGGGGTAAGAGTGGCCGAGCGCACGCCACGCGTTTGGAAAGAATGTCTTTCCCGGGCGAAAGAAAGGACCGAGAGAGAGAGAGAGAGAGCGGGAAGGTACATGTAGCATGTACGCTACCCAAGTGACCTTCCTTTTTTGGACTACGTATGCTAGCATCCCCTACATGGGAGCCGGCTGGGATAGCTCAGTGGTTTAAGTATCTGGCAACGGAGACACACTTTGGGTGTTCGATTCTCCCGCTGGGAGAAGAACTAGCCTCTGTGGCCCAGCGAGCAAGCCAGATTCAACTACATATCCCATCACCCCTGACCACTAGCTAAGTAGGGAAGGATGGTGGGAATTAAGAGTCCATCAACAGCACATTAAATCTCCATTAACACCTCATTATCCCACTGATGATGGTTTACCATCATCAGTGGGATATTTACCACGATAATGCAGTGGGTCTGTCTTGTTTTCCACTGTGGCCCTAATGGCCTCTGTCATGGTGGTCTTGTCTGCAGAGGTAGACTGTCTCTAAACCTGGCAGTTCCATCGGTGTGGTTTCTATCTCTCCTCGGGGAAACTGCCAACAACGGCTTTGCCCAAGCCTGCATCCAGAAATGTGAGAATGACAGGATCCAATGGTGACCCAGGAGAGAGGGTGGGTCATCAGAAGTGGTCCTTGCAAGGAAAACCTCCAGAAAGGACTAGCTTTTTTGAAACAGGTAGGCCACCGTTCTTCATATGCAGTAGTTATGGATGGTGCACCTTGAAACAGGTAGGCCACCGTTCTTCATATAGTTATGGATGGTGCACCAATGAACAGAAGGAAGGAAGGAAGGAAGGAAGGAAGGAAGGAAGGAAGGCCCGCCCGTTCTACTCTACAAAATCTTCCCGAACTTAAGAGGCTGTCTACTCTACAGTTATAGCAATGTGATACCATTTAACTTGTCCTGGATTCCACGCTATGGAATCCTAATATTTGTGGACTACAAAAAGTACAGAATGTTAGAGGACTTAGTGGATTCCCCTGAACTATTGATCTGTGAAGTGTAAATCTGCTATGTAGTATAAATTCACTCACAGTCACCTTAAGACAATGCTGACTCGCCAGGGGCGACCAGGAAGTAGCTGTTTATAACCCTGCATTTTTTGGGGGAGGGGCAAAATCAGTTTTGCATCAGTTTTGCTCCCGTCAGTCTTACCGAAGTCTAGCCAAGAAGAAAGCAGGTTCCACATTATCTGGGAGGTTGATGCCCTCGTGATCAAAGGGGCCCTGGGAGTCACATGGTACAAAATCCGAATTTTTACCTCTTTTACCGAGAACAAAAGAGTAACAAATAGAAATGCGCCCTGAAAACCAGTGACAAGGTGCGGCCTAGGGAACAGGTGACAAGAACTCCACTCAAAACCCCCAGCGTATGTTTTTAATATGAATAATCAAAATATATATTACAGTTTCTGGTTTTATAAGGAAAATTGTGTTTGGGGTTTGTACAATATACACAGTATTTCAGAAAGGGCAGGAGAAAACAAACCTAGCAAGATATTGATATTGTTTTATATTAGACCCTTTCCCCCCCCAAACAATCTCTCTTTATAAACCCCTAAGCTTCATCATTTCTGTGCAATACATGAAAGACTTTAATGTCCCCGTTTTCCCCCAAATTAAAAAAAAAAAAAAACACGTATGCAAAAGCCCTGTGAAACGTTTCCAGTTTAACACCACTAAATGTTCCATAAGCGTTTACATTTTAATAAATACTGGGGCTTTGGCCGTTTCCCCCCCCCCGCCCCCAAAGCCTAGCTTAAATGTCATGGCGGTTGGTTGCATTGACCCAGGGAGAGAGAGAAAAAAGGGTCACTTACACACACACTCGCACACACGCACACACACACTCGCCGCCAAAACGGCAGGCTCACAAGGCCAACGGTGGCAGAGGTCTGTTAGGCATATTGCAACTGTTTTATATTTACACGGTTCTTTCACGACTCCGGGGTGCCCTTTTGCATCCACTTATCTGCACGCGCTTCCCTGCGGCTGCACATCTTCCTCTGGCCAAAAAAAAAGAAGAAGAAGGGAGGGGAAGGATGATGTCACTAAGGAGATCCCTAGCAAAGGCTGGCCGCATTTCCCCAGCACCCAGGGTTGATTTTTTTTTTTTTTTAAATGTACTTTTTAAAAAAAAAGTGAATTGAAGTGTTAGAAAAATATTGTCAACACGGATGTTGTGGCAGCTGGAGGAGAAAAAAAAAGGCCTGGACGTTCTACCATAACCTTTACAATGTGGTCCCTTTTTCATTTATGATTTGACACAGTGCTAGTTTTTAAGGGAAAAGGGAATTTTAAAAAGGGGAGGGAGGGAGACACACACACACTCACACACACAGCCAAACAATATTCCCCAAACCACCCTATTGGAATTAGTCTGATTAGTAAAGATTTCTTTTAAAATGCCTGGTCGTTGTACAGTATCTACATACAAAAGTTGTTTTTTTTTCTTCCCTCTTAAAGGGCCCGGGAAAGGGTTAGGAAAACAGTCAACGTGTTACATTCGTAGAGGTCCGTTTCTTTGAGCCGTTCTGGCTGCGGCGTCACTTGCGTTCGTCGATGGTCTTAATGAACTCCACGGCCGCCGTGAATTGCATCCACCAGTAGGATTCTTCTCCGGTCAGACAGTTGGCGTAGAAGCTACTGATGTACTGGACGGTGGACAGCAAGCAAGGCGGGTTGGCCTGGAAAGAAAAGAAGGGGGTAGAGCAGGGCAGATGGATTCGAAGCCGCCCCCTGTGGATGCTGAAAACTGTGGATAATAGCAAACGCTATACATAGCATGATAAAAGAAAGGAAAAAGTGGGGATTTCACCATGTATTACCAGAACTGGCCACTAGAAGGAGCCAGAGACCATGCTGTGTATTTTTGTTGTTGAAGAAGACGTACCATATTGAAATGTTTCGCTGCTCATCCAAGGAGCGTCTTCAATCTGAGGAGTTTGTAGGAGATCCATGATATATCCTCCACAGATATGAAACCAACGTGGAGGATATACCGTATTTTTCGCACCATAAGACACACTTTTTTCCCACAAAACATGGGGGTGGAAAGTCTGTGCATCTTATGGAGCGAAGAAAACAGATTATATTTTCCTGTTTTCTTCTCCTAAAAAATTGGTGCGTCTTATGGAGCGAAAAATACGGGTATGTCGTGGATCTCCTACCAGTTTTTTTTCTAGAATCAAGTACAGGTTTTTATTGACCCTTTTAGTAGTGTATAGCCCTTGTTACTTAAAGTCTTTTTAATTGCTGTAAGTCGCTTTGGGTGCTTCTTAACGAGAAAAGTGGGTTCAAAACTTTTTAAATTTTAAAAAAATACATATAAGGAAGTATTTTAAAAATGAGATGCCCATTGGCAGCCTGAAGCGGGCCTTTTGATCCTATTGATTCATTTCGACGAGATAATTAAACTGATTTAAAACAGACAGAAGGGTTGGGCAGAGGGAATCTTGGTAGATTTCCCCCCCCCCCCCAAAAAGACTGAGAGCCCTCTCTTACCTTTATGAGCACAAACACAAGGACTGGGACAAAATCATCTGCTCCAGGGACCGAGTCTTCATTGGCCAGGCTCAGCAGGTTCATGATGGTGGAGCACATCCTCATGACGCACTGCAGCTTGTCCCGGGGCGTCTTGTAGGCGCTGATGGTGCGGATTTCCGACTGTGCCGACGGCCATGGGGCTTCGCGCAGATAGACCTACACGGAGAGGAAGGGCAGACCATCTGGGGGACAGCTAGGGAAGATCTGGCAGCTACATCTAAGCCATCACCCAACCAAGAGACCTCAGCCTCTTCTGCTTTGCAGAGAGGTGTGTGTGTGGGGGAGTCATTCCGGCCTAAAAGAAGCCCAAAGGATGGAAGAAATGATTTCTATTTAGGGCTCGTAGGTCACATGAGGTGGAAGGGTCCAGACATGGCTGTCCCTACTTCAAAACACTAGGCACAGGGCGCTAAAAGCTGTAAATAAAAGTGCTCTGGTTGATACAACCAGCAGATTAAAATAAAAAAAACCTATGGGGAAAGGGTCGGCCTTACTTTGGGGTACGTTACCTCGGGAATCTGAAGCGCTTTATGATTCGCAGTCACAACTTTGGAGAGCCTCTGGATATGATCGTGGAGAAGCCTGAAAGAGGCAGAGAAGGGGTCAAGCAAAAGACGAGCGACAGCCAAGTAAGAAAGACCGAAGATCGCCTTCCAGAAAAACCCAATTCTGTGTATGTCTTTTCCAACTTCGTTTTCACTGCTTAAATTTAACGGCCAGTTCTTGACCTTCCAATCATTTCAACCTCCTGATTCTCTTCAACCCCATCTGGCTGGACTGCAACGTTTGTTTTATTGCTTTTTCTTTTCAGATTTCAAAACACCCCAAAGGGCACCATTGGTTTGACTATAAATGGTTTAAATCAACAAATAATAGCCCATTTGGGGAGGGGTCCATTATGTACAGCCTTCTCATGTAAATTTTGCTAAATGAAGAAGCAGCTTTTTAAAAAAGCTAGTTCAAGTTTCTGAGGGACCATCACATCAGTGGGAAAGCTGAGCAACTTTTCTTTTTTAATTTTGCAAGCCACCCACAATACCATGTGGCAGATTAGGGGGCTGGTCTTTTCCATAACGTAGGCCACCTTTTTAAAAAAGGAGAAACGTGGGGTTTCTCCTTTTAAAAATTGAGAAACGTGGGGTAAACATATTTTAAATAACACAAAACAAACTAAAATAAAACATTAGCCCACCTCACACAAAAGCCCATCTGCCGGACACCACCCCATATGGCAGAAAACCAAAACAGACCATTTAAAACCTCCTTCCTCAACCTCTGAGATCAAAGGTCAGGAGTCTACCCTCCGCCCACGGATTGTCACCAAGGTTATACTTATTCCCCCAGCCACCGGTTGGCGTTCTTTGCGCCATTCCTCGGATGGGCTCCGGGAAGGCCTGCTTGACTCACTGGTCCCGCAGGATATCCCCGTCCTGGTTGGGGTAAAACGCCAGCTTGAAGATGCGGTTCATGACGCTGCGCTCAATGGCCAGCTGGGCGTCCTGCAGCTGGTCCTCGCTGGCGTTCTGCCAGATGATGTCCTGGGCCATCGCCCCGTACAGGAACTGGAGGAAGTCTTCCACCTGGGCCGTCTTGTCGTCCGCGGCCGTCAGCTTCTGGAAATCTTTGGAACCAAGCACAGAGAGGAGAGCTGCAGAGAGCCAGGAGGGAGAAGCCTCCCCCCCCCGGATTAACTCTATTCCCTGTTGCCAGCCTTCAAAAATCCCAAGTTTGGCCCACAGGGAAGGTCATGACAGGTGGATGCAGCCATCCAGATGTGCAGGTTATTCCTCGGTGTCACGGATACAAACTTCTAAGGGAGGCCAGCAAAGGAGGCTTACAAAGGATGAGTTTTGAACTCGCATCCCAGTCTGGATCCGTGTGGTCCTCAACCAGACTTGTCCAAGGCCTCTCTGTGACACGAAGTGACTTGATGCAGGGGTAGCCAGAGAGGGAAGAGGGCCTTCTCTGCCCCCTCGGTAACATCAGCCACTGGCCCCAAGGTTGCCAATGTTCCACCAACAGATTAAATCAATCTCATAGCCCATAGCAGGCTGCACGCCACTCTTTCAGGCCCTTCCAGGTTCTGATAAAAGGGGACTGGTACCGATATAAAATTATTTTTCATCTTTTCCCTTTTAATACATATTCAATGCTTTATGTTACCCTCACGGCCCATGGGCCAGTAGGAAGAAGCCCCTTCAACAGAGGTTCTTACCGACTTGCTTGAAAACATCACAAGGTCATTCCCCCCCACCCCTTCTCTCCCCAGTGGGAGAGCCAAAGAGACTTGGAAGAAGAGATCAGGGCAGAGCTTCAAGGCCAGAAAATCCGACTGGTAGTCAACAATCCGGCATTGAGACCACCAGGTGGAAGCGCTTTCAGAAAAGTTACCTCTTTGTTCCCTAAATGCTAAACATCCCATTGCATCTTACTTTGTATTCATGTAACCATACAGTCAGTATCTTTCTGATGTTTGTATAAACGTGTCACAACTTGTACGGGCCCCCAAAGCATCCTGAAACTGGAAAACTATCCTTCTTGGCATACCCCAAATTAAAGTGACTTGATTCTGTCTTTACCTGGCCCTTGCTCAAGAGTAGAGGAGAGCTTTCCCCTCACCCCGTGTAACCTAGTTGTTCTGAAAGACAGGGGGAATTAAACTGAGAGGCAACGAAAAGGGCCAAGGACTCCCAAGAAGCTTCAAGGCTGAGTAGAGAGATTCTAACCCGGGACCCTTGGCTACCTACTGTCAACTCTTCTGGCACCCAAGCACAAGGTGGGTAAAGGTTTACCTTGAATGAACTCCCGGATCTTCGCCTCTTTGCTCTCCAGCAACAGCCGAACGCAGACGGTGGTGAAGTACCGGTTGGCCACCTCCTTGTCGCGCAGGACTCTCTGCAACAGCCTTTCGAGGTGGGCCTGGGTGGTCTGGAGGCCCTGGCGGCATCGCGTCAGATACGCGATATATGGAGCCCTTTTCCTGGAGCAAGGAACGAGAGAGCCAGAACTCAGGAGCAGAAGACTTCCTATCGGTGCGGATTAAAAAGGAACTCGGTTGGCCAAGACCTTTGGGTCCCGGTCTTTGAAGAGCTACAACCGGTCAGGAATCGAGGGTGAGGAATCGGACCAATCATCTCCGTGTGGGCGACTTGATCAGATTTTTGAGGATGCCCTTGTGGACAATCCCACAGAAAAAGGAGGGCGTAAGAACCAGTTACAACTACAATATCCAGAAACGTGAGTGAGTGACACAGTGTTTTTTGATATCTAGTTTTGTGCGGCATTTTAAATGTTATTATTGTGTGGTTCGAATTGTTGTGAGCTGCCTTGGGTCTCCGATAGGGGGACATATAAATAAATAAAGCTGTGAAGGACACAACTCCGCCCCTGCTGCCAGGCGCTCCCTCCAGCAAGGCAAATATTCTTCCCATTTATGAAGTGCAAACTGTGGATCATTTCTGTATTCAGAACAGTCTCATCCGAGGAGTCAGCAATCACTGGCAGTTGCCAAATCTGCAGGAACTGAAAGGGGGTCTCCCCCCAGTTGTAAAAGATTATTTCACGACCATTTTTAAAGCTTCTGGCCCACCAGAAGGGGCCACTTGATCCCACCCCGAATTTAGTGAGGACAAGGATGAAAGGCGGTGCTCCCATCACAGGAGAGGGCTTACCTATAATCCTCTGTGATGGAGGCCAGAAGTTTGAGACACGTCCTGTTGTCGAAGCGCCCCACACAGCGCATCGTCTCCTGGAGCTGGGCCATCAGGTTCTTGTCCTGAAGGTTGATGGCTTCTGCCAGCTGAACTTTTAGGAAGCACACGATCTCGTTGTCTGCCCGAGGGAGGGGGAAGCGAACAAAACGGGAGAAGAGAAAGGCAGCCTGGTCATATTTATTTATTTAACCGTCTGGGTAGATTTCAAAACACTGCTTAGCGACTCAAAGTTAAAGAAAAATACAAGGAAGGGAAAGGATCCGGATTTCGGATGACAGGGGGGGGTACCTTCGGGGTCCGTGTGGTCCGGAAGGCCATTCCGCGTGGAGTGAGACAACATCGGGAAGGCCACCGAGTCCGCGGAACAGAGGGCGAGCCGCAGCTTCTTCTTTGCATCCCTGCGGGGGAACAGCAACAAATTCAGCCTTGAATACGATTCGTAATTGGAATGCGAGGGATTGGTTCTTGCCGTTTAGATCCTACTTCTCTTCCAGAGCACGCAAGCTTGACTCTCTTCCCCAATCCTTTCCCTCATCGAAAAATGTTACTGTCCCAAGGTCTCCTGGTGAAGTTTTATGGCTCAGCGTGGGCTGGAAAGTGCACCCTCCACGCTCTTCCCCAATCCTTTCCCTCATCGAAAAGGTCTCCCGGTGAAGTTTTATGGCTCAGCGTGGACTGGAAAGTGGACCCTCCACACTCTTAAAACCATGTTAGTTTGGAGCCTTCAGGCCAGAGTCCTGACTCCCAAAGCCTCGGGTTCAGGTCTCAGATCGTTTGCCCCACCACCACGAGAGTTGGAACTCGGGACTTGGACTCAAAGATTCCGACATGCACACGGGCCACCCAGGTTGACAGGCCAGTGCCTACGCAGAGACAGCGGGTGAACTTCCCTGCCCAAAGACAGCCTTGGCTTAGGTGCATGCGCTGGCCTCTCAGCTTGGGGGCATGCGCAGAGGCAACAACCGGCTCCGGGAAGGGAAGCTGGGCCTGCTGCCTTTGAGGATGATTGGCCCATCTCAATAGAGACTTGAAAATCCTCTAATTACACAGGTCAATAGGTTTTCCATCACCACAAGCAGAGTTTCCAGACCATCCTTGATTTCCAGGCTGCCCCCCTTTCTCCACCACGCTTCTAAGCCCTTTCTTCCCTCCTGCTAATATTCCGCAACCCCATGGAGGGTTCTGTTACCTGTAGGAGAACGCAGAATCCTGCGGTTGTGCTACTTGGCTGGCAGAATCCGGGAGGTCGTCCGCAGACATGTTCTGCAAGGCGTCGTCCCGTGGAGAGTCGTGGATGCTCTCCCCGTCACCGATGGCATCTAAAGTCCACCCCATCCAACAAATTGAACACTCGCAGTTGACCATCAGCAACAACGCTGTTTTCTTAACATACATGTTTGGGGATTGAAAAAAAATCTGCACCCCTCCTCAGCATCTCAGAACAGAGTTTATAGCTCATATCATCTTCCTTAAAACTACAGGACAGTTTAAAACGATTCAGAATAAAACTCGCCATTCAACAGAACGGGACGCCTATATTCGTCTGTGAAAATCTCAAGAAACAGATGTAGGTTTTCGCAGGGCATCGCAATGAGGCTAGGGCCGTTATGCCGTCTGGGCCTCTAAGAAAGGAGGCATTTCATGACCAAAGGTGTCACAACAGAGAGGAGCCCCTTCCCTATTTCGAGACTGCATGCCGCTCTCAAGAGAGGGACATACAAGAAGGAGCCCATACTCAGGCAGACCCCAGATTATTTACTTGTCCCAGCTATTCCATCTTTTCTCTCATGGCCTGTGCTTTCCCTTCTTCAAATATTAAAATTGCGAGTTATTTATATTTTCCTCCGTTTTCACGAGATCGGGATTCTCACCTGTGCTGTCGTAGCTCACGACCGCCCCCTCGTTGGGGCTGGTGCGCTTAATCGCATTCCTGTACTTGTCCAGAATGTCTTCGGCCGCTTGGGCCTGAGCGCTCAGCCTTGGACCAGTATCATCTGAGAACCCATAAAAAGAGGGAAGGCTACAGATTAAGAAACCGAGGAATTCAGAGGAACCGTATCCGCACCAAGGTGGGCGAAATACAAAGAGCATCATGCGCCGGGTGGAGGCATGCAGCCGTAACCGATAGAATTGCAAGTGAAAACACAGATGGGCCGCCAGGAGCTCACCAAGCCCGCAGAGAGGCCATGTGACTTTCCCCTGAATCGGAGGTTTGGGGAAGAGGGCTGCAGAAACAAGAGAATCGAGGAAAGAGTGTTTCATTTACGAGAGCTATGCTCCGCTTCAGGCGCGCACAGCGGCTGACAATACAACGACGACACCACACGGGTCAGTACAGGATTTTGGAGGCAGAACTGCTGCTCTGAAACGCCTCATGTATCTGAAGGTGTCCCCTTTTGAGTACTTCTTGTCTTTGGAAACAAACACACACTGCCGCCTGCTTCATTGTCTGTTGTCACCCGTGCGGCTGTTGTTCCAGGCGCAGATTAACAAAAGTATGTTCCGCAGGGGCAGAAACACACAGCCAAGCCATATACACGGCGGATCCAGAAAGGGGTGAAACTCAGGTGTAATGATAATGAGCCCGAGAATGGACAGACTTTGTAGCAACACTTTGTTCGCTTTAGCTATCTATAGGAAGAGGTTTGAAACAGCATTGTTTTAAGACTGTTGTTACGTGCCGTCAAACTGGTACAGAAGGAAACACCTTGCGCTTGGTAATTACGGCAGGACGGCTGTCGTACAGCGGCAATTTCATCACACTTAAAGACCCTGTTCTCTGAAAGAACACTGAGTTTATTTGCTTTCTCTATTTTTCTGTGCAGAGCACCAAAACCAAAGCATCTGGCTCTCTTTCACCTGCCCACCTGTATGAAATTCCTGGACGTGTTTAATACTGTAAATTTCCTTTTTTTTCTTCTTTGCGCTCCTGAATTCCTTTTAACTTGTAATTCAGTGCTTGATTTTAATAGGATAACTTGGCTGTGTTTTAACAATGTCACTCACTGCATTTTTAACCATGATGTGTTTTCAGTTCGTGTTAGGAGTCACCTTAGGTCCTGCACTGGGAAAATGGTGGGATATAAAACCAACACACCCACCTAATCAAATAAATAGCATAAAACACTGGTGCCTCCTAAGCAGATGGGTAAAACTGCCCTACCATGTCTCCATGTGCAGGAAAGTTCGATTTTTGTGTTTGTGTGTTTATGCAAACCACAGTGAGGCATCCTGTAAAGAGATTTATCACTCCGGGTACACCGAGTTGGAGCCAAACTAGTTCTTTAGCCGATAAAGACAGTACAATCTTATTTTGCACCAGTAACATTACTGTCCTTGAGAATTATTCTGATTGCTATTCATTAATTAGTCAAAGAAGACCACTAGTCGAAATCTGAAAAAAAAAAATCTAAAAACCAATTCGGGTTCTCAATCAGAATTCTGAAAAGTTAACTTTTTGGAACACAGCTTCCAGAATCTTCAAAACAGCACAGAAAATGGTAGCCCCCCCCCCCAAAAAAAGTACACATTTGGAGTTCTGGCTCAAAGTATTCAAAGGGAAATTGCAGCAGAAGGGAGCTCAAAAGGTTCAGCTACGTACCTTGAAGAGAGGCGTATCTGTCAGGCATGAAATCGTCTTTATCCTTGTCCTGTTTTTCTTTTTTTCTAAACGGGATCGGAGCTGGGAATCAAGAAAGGCGACAAATGTCATACAAAGGAATATATTTTAATTTGCGACAGGAAACGTCTCAGCCGCTAGGTTTCTCAACAGATTTCAAGAAAGGAGAGATGTCCCACAGCGATGGAAGAAAGGAAGGAAGTAGGAAAATTGCAAAAAAGCAATTTTAATATTCATTATTAAGCAGACTCTTCTATGCCATGTTTGGCACAGCACGGCTCACCTTTCGAGAGAGTGAGAGAGAAAAACTTCTTTCAATATCAAGAGTTATAAAGCTATCAGAAATGTGTCCTCTCCAAAAGAAGTAGTAAACTGAGGCAAAACAGGAGCAGCAAGCTGAATAAAACAAGTGGGCTGCAGTGCCAAAATAAGTACAGTGGTGCCTCGCGCAACGGTCGCTCCGTAGAGCGACGAATCCGTGCAACGATGCCGTTTTTGCGATCGCAAAACGGCACCTAGATAGGGGGAAAATCACAGAGCGAAGGTCGGTAAGCGGTTCGCTTACCGACCTTCGCTTTGCGACCCGCCCATCAGCTGTTAGGCGGGTCCAAAATGGCCACCACACGCCCCAAAATGGCCGCGCGCAGCGTTTTCATCTATTACAGCAGTATGTTCTGTTCTAGGCTTATAAAATTACAGCCCACATCCCGTGAGGGCAGAGGGGACGATCACATTTTTTTCGGATTCACGTTTTCGGATTCACATCTGTCTAGCCACCGGAAGCCCCAAGAACCTCCCTGAAATTGGGCGTGACCAGAATCTGTCCCCTTAATCTTGCGTCAAGAGGTATCTCTTTTAAACACCAGCCTATCCGAGTGCGTGATTTATTTTCAAGAAAAAGCAGGACAAAAAGACTTCTAGCTAACTTAGCAACATGGCAGGATGTAAGAAGCCGGAGGCATCGAAGGTCACCTTTCGGCATAGCTGAAACGAAACGCTTCCGCCACCAAGGCTTGTTGCGGTCCGGTTTTTCATCATCACTGTCTTTCCGGTCTTCAACCTGTTAGGGAGAAACAGACGAGGTGAGATGTAAAAGCTACAAAGCAGGGTGGATAAAATAATTTCTTTTAAAAAATCAAATTGATTTAAATAGAAGCAATCCATTTAAATTTTGAAATCCATCTTGCTACCAAGTATGGAATGGGATATAAAGTCGACAACGGAATTTTACACGTCCACTCCGAATTCCTAGTGACATTCAGCAGGATATACTCTAAACAAGATTGTACAGGACTGCAGCTCAGTTGGTTAAGTTATAATCCCACATACATCTAGAAATAAATGCAAATAGATTCAGTGGAACTTACATCTAAGTAGACACAGTAAGTTTCCCCAGAGACTTTTACCATGATTAATTTGTGGCACCTGTTTCAGTGAGGGACAAATTCCGATTCGGGACTTAACCTATTATCTTACTTCTGCCTCTTCAGACGGGACTGTGTTGACACCTCGTAAAAACCGCTACCCCTGTTTATACATCACTGGGGAATGTGCTAAAAAAAATAAAATGTCCGAGAACATTTTGAAAACCACAATGGCCCAGGATATTAAAAAAAGTGAGACTTAAGATCAGCAGCTGGTCAGTTGCTTGGGTTTTTTTTTATTAAGTCATCACATCTGAACCCAAACAGTGGATAAACAAATGAGACATCTTTATACTGGGTTGACCTGCCCATGGAACCTGGATAGGCAGGAACTGAAAAGTCATCTTTTTTGAGCCATTGTCTCGCTCTAGTGTTGAGGACAACCCGCAACTAAGACTGGTTTCTTTTCTTGCCTATCAAGGTAAATGGATGGAGTGGAATGGTAAGGACACAACCCATCCTAAGGTGGTCCTTCTTCCCATGTATAAAAGGAGCATAAGGGCCAACACTGGCTGGCTGGATAGCTCAGTGGTTTAAGCTTCTGGCTGCAGAGCCAGAGGTTGGGAGTTGGAGTCCTCGCTGAGCCTTGGTGACATCCAAGCAAGGGGAAAGCACAAAGAACATGCTGTCGCTATCGATCCACAAAAGCCATTTAAAGGCTCGGTCTCCCTGTTCTTACCTCTCCTCTACAGGAATCTTTGCTAGGAGAAGAGGAAGAAGACGGAGGGGCGCCGATCAAGGGGACTCCCCCGAAGCCACTCCCGGAGGCAGAAAGCTCCCTCTCCTCGTTGCCGGCCCTCCTGTTCCAGCCGGGGTCGCTCATCGGCCTCCGAGCGGAGGACATGATATCGGAGCTCCTGCTCCGCACCAGCCTCTCCGGGTAAGAGTAGCGCTGCTTGAAAGCCTCCGAGTCCATGAGAACGGTGGTGTGAGAGCCGAAGTTAGGCAGCCTGGCATCGTTGCCTCCCAAGGTTCCTTCCAGGATCGGGGGATCCGGGGGCGGGTGCGAAGGTCTTGCGTAGTGGACTTTGGGTCGCACTACTGCTGGAGGGAAAAGTCAGGAGTTAGCATGATGCCCGTGCCGTTCTTTCATGCTTCCTCAGAGGGCCATGAGACTAGAGATGGGCATGAAGCTTGGTTCGGAGGTTCGTGGTGGTTTCTTGGTGCGGCACCACCAGTGCTGTGCATTCCCTTCCCCACCCCTGGCCAGCTCCCCCACTTGCCAGCCCGCATGCAGGCTGATTTTCTCCTCATCTTCATACAATTGTCCAATCAAGGCAGGACTGTTGTTCCTTCCTCCGCCTCCCCCGGCAGCTGGCCACTCAAAAGCAGCACTGCAGGGATCCCAGCCCTGCGTCCTTGTCTGAGTGGGCGGCTGTCAGAGGAGGCGGAGAACGGAAGTCCTTGCTCCTCCTGCAACTGGATGATCGCGCCGTGAGCAGGAGAAAATCAGTGTGCATGCGGGCTGGTGAGTAGGGAAGCCGGGCAGGGGAACGGAAAGGGAAAGCACAGCACCTGTGGTGCCACACCGACAAACCATCACAAATCTCCAAACCAAGGTTTGTGCCCATTTCTAACCAAGACTCAACGAGGCTCTGCAGCCGTAGAAAGAGGAGCGATTGAAAACATCTTTGCGAGACTGATTACCTTCGTGAGAAGACAAGGGGTCGAACATGGCGAGCAAGGACTCTGCCTGAGACGGAGGAGAGGTCAGCTGACTGCCACCTGAAAGACAGAGAAGGCAATATCTTAACAGAGAAACGTATCGGCAATATCTGGACATTTTTGTTTCCATTCCATTATTGGCCGCAACAGCTGGGACTTTTGAGAACGGATGCTCTAAACAACCAGAGGGTCCGAAGTGCCTAACAGAACTGAACTGGACTTTAGATTTTGGAAACTGAGATCCAAAGCAGTAACTTTTCCAAGATACGCTTTCACAACCCACTTCGGGGCATGTATTTAAATCTGTCACAAGTTCACCAGAACATGTTCATCCTTCCCCTTACCGTGGGCCGTTTCGTCCATGTCAGGGCTTGTGACTGAATCTTTCCCACCGAAGTCGGAGCTACACTCAGAGCGAAGATCTTCCATCTTGTTCGGGATGTCTTCGGAGGTTGCGCTAATCCCTGGCAGAGAAAAACAAAGTTCTTACTTTTAGGGGAAGACGCAAAATTGGAAAGGCTTGCTGGATGTGTCTACTTTTGAATTTGAGGGCCAAATTGGCTGAATGATACTGCCATGCGGTAAACGGACTGGTGAATTAATTCAAAAGAACCAGACTTGACCCTGAAAACAACTTAGTCCCACGCAACAGCTGAACCCCAGGAGTAGCAAGTCACATCCCTTCTCTGATTTAGCCCACCGTTGGCTACTTTGACCAGATGTTAAACTGCAAAGTCTTCCGCGTTCTCTCCTACCAGAATCTTTGCAGATGGAAAGATCTTGAGCGGAAAAAAACCCTCCTACATGCCAACCACGTGCTTTTTCCCTTTGAGGCATACCAATCTCCATTCCTATATCTCAGGGCTAGAGATGACCTCTAACAAAGAAAATGAAAAGAACAGGCCATGCTGGGCGACACACGCAAGCAACTGTCTGACCTGGGAATCCAGGATGGGCAATTTGAGAGCGGAAATGGGAGATGAGAAATACAGGTCCCTGGTGAGCCACGAAATACACTGGGAGGGGGGGGGAAATCACACGCATCGCCTTGAGCTAATTAGAAGAGTGGACACGCAGCAATGGAGCTGAGGAATTACGAAAGTCCACCACTGAGCAAGCAGTAACTTCACGCACTCCAACGACCATTTTTCTCTGGAGATAAGACTCACCTGACACAACACTGAGGCCCGGCGTGCTGGGGCGAGAACTGACCTCCCGCACATCGGTATCATCAGAGGTGCTTCCCACACCAGAGCAGCTTTCCAGTTCCTGCAGCCTTTCTTCTTGTTTCAGGTCTGGAGCTTCTGATAAACAGGAGGGGAAAAAATCACAGGTATTTTGGTTCTCAAAACGGAACGTTAGTTGCCTCCGAATCATCTCTCTGCAAAATTCCACATGAATCTCTCTCTTTCCATCCATCCCTTTTGAAAAGCTCTCCACTCAACGGCTGGCTCAAGATGATTCACAATGAAGTCAACGATTCCAAGCAATGCTAGACCCAAAACTCAACCAAAAAAAAAGGTTAAAAATCCATGCACTCCAAGGAAAACGAAGGAGCCTTCTGCAAGCTGCAAAAAGCAACAGGGTTGCCTTCTGAGCAAAGGCCTGTAAAGCCGACGAGGAGGCCCACCTGAATCGCTGGGGAGGACTTCCACACTCCAAGCTTCGCTGGTGGTTTCAGAGATGGTGGAGCCTGTGCAAGGGTCAAAGAGCACGGATCCTGATCCAGGCAAACAGAGCAGACTCCCCAGCATATTCTCTGCGGCAGCTCCTGGCAAACGAGAGGGAGATACATGATGAAGAATTAAAACCTAATTGTATGTCGCAGGTTGGAGTTCAGGATGCATCCCAGGGCCTGAATAGGTGGAAGGTAATTACTACAATTAATTAATTAATTGACCAAACTCCGGGAGGCTGTGGAAAGACAGGAGGGCCTGGCGTGCTCTGGTCCACGGGGTCGCGAAGAGTCAGACATGACTTAACGACTATAAAACAACAAAATTACTACAAAAAACAGCAAAGGGTCTCGTCACACCTTCCAATCTCACAGGCCGATTTATAATGGCTGCCGGCAGGGGCTCCAGGCATCTGAGGAAGGGGGGGGGCGGTCTTATGACAAAAAAAATACAGTCTTCCAAGTAACGCAAGACTCTTTCTTCTTTCTGCCACAACAAAGCGATAATTCTTTATAACTCGCGTCTTGAACTATAGGTATTTCTTTCAAAGGCAACATCCAAGACAGAGAATAAGCCTTCTTTCGCTTCGTTACTGCACCAACGGGAAGGCTTCCGTTACCTGCAATTTCCTGCAGCCGGTCTTCGTCAATATTCGGATCAAAGTCGCTCCCGAGAACGTCCGTGCTCCAGGTCTCGCTCACCGTTTCCGAGATGTCCCTGTCTTCCGTCAGACCCATCATGTCACGGATTTCAAATTTACGGAGCTTGTCATCAAGATTATCCTGGGTGGTGGCTGTCGTGAAAGGTAACGGGTCCGTGAAAACTCAGCCCGGCTCAAAACTTCTTGGGACGGCCATTCCCAAAAGCCCTAGCTGTAACAGCCAGGGGTTCTGGGAACTGTAGTCCGAGAAAATCTGAAGCACCGCATTTGCAAACGTCTAGCCCAGTGGTTCACAACCATTTTGGAGTCGTGACCCCTAAAAGTAATCTGTGATCACCACCCTTCAAGCTCTCTCTGGATAGCTTACAATTTAACTATGCAGGCTACACATCGCCCATTGCAAGCTGGGTACTCAATTTACCAATCTCAGAAGGAGGGAGGCGGACTGAACCTCAAGCTGACTTCCTGGGATTGAACCCAGGTTGAGAGCAGAGGTTTAGCTGCAGCACTGCAGTTTAACCACTGCGCCATGAGGCTCCTTCAACAAGGGCTACAACACATATAAGGCAACACACAACCCACCCAACCCCAAAAACATTTTGCAGCCCCCAGGTTAGGAAACTGTTCTATCTGAACCAACTCCCCAGGGAGATGAGGGTACGTTGGCGTGGGAGGGACAGTGAAGAATCATGTACTCTGTTGTCTGGGAGTAATTAAAAATACACCGTTTGTAAAGACCATTTGGTTTTAACCGTGAACTATGTGGTTTGCCCTGAGCTTCTTGGAATAAGCGCAGAATTAAAAACTTGTTACTGTAAAATAAGCATCCCAGCACCACTCGAAGAACAACAACAACAAAAGTTAATTTTAGCAGCATGTCCGGTCCACTGTTTGCCACCACCACTGACCTTCCTCGTGTTCCAGCAGCTGCAGCGCTTCTACCCCGTTGCTTCCAGACGGGCCCGCGCCCAATTCCGACACCGACTCCCCTTCCAAATCCAGCGAGGACACGGAATTGGAGCGGTTCGAAGGGCCTACAGGGGAAAGAGATTGGGCCGTCAGAGGTAGGAACCCCCCGGGGGAAAAGGGACGCCCAGTTAAGGGCAAGAAAGGAAATGCAAGGAGACAAGAGCTAAAGTCACGAGTCGCAGGTGATTGCACTACGCAAGGCTGCTTTCAACACACACACAAACACACACACACACACACGGGCCAATGGAATGAGTGGATCATTGCGGCTTTTACAACAGCGGTGGAGAGACTATAAAAAAGAAACAGCAGCTACAATGAATGGAAGCTCCTTTTTTTAAAAAGGACTGCCTGACAGACAAGATACTGAATTGACCCTTCACCTTCAGATATGCCTTCCAGATTATCACTGCAGAGGGAAAAGCGCAAGGTTTTATCAGGTTTACCATGGAGCTTGGTTTCATCAACAGCGACACCTCCTTGCCCTCCATCAGCAAGCTGCATGTTTAAAACCTAGTAAAAAGGAGAGAGAGAAAAGGGGATTACCATCCCTTCCCTTCTTCTGGGGACGCCTTGGGACGGTGCATTTTTAAAAACACACCTCATCCTGCTGGTCCACATGACACATTCAAAACCAAAATCTAAATAAAAATAGCAATACAGTGACGAGTACGTGACAGAAATGCTTTTATTAAGCAATTACAACATGAGCAGAGGCAACAGCCTGCACGACACATCGCTCCTGAGCGGCCTCAGAATCTCAGAATTTTACAGGGGTCCATACCTCATTTTCTGACATCATTCCAGGAGTGATCTGAGGTCCCGTCCCGAGGGAAATAACCAGGACTTCTTCCGGCTGTACCTCTTGTATTGTCTCCTGGGAGAATCCATCATGGTCCGTGTGCTGGTCTGCCTGCATATTGGATCGGCTCCTGCTGCGGGTCGCTGCAACATTTTTTTAAAAGCTGTTTTATAGGGTGTTTCTGACACTGAATCACTTTAACAAAGAAGAAAATGCAGATTCTACAGGAGACAAAGTGCAGGGACATGCATACTGCAGAAGAGAGGCAAAAAAGGGGTGGCGGTGTGAGGGGCCTTTGCTAAATCGGAACTCTACCGACACTTTGGCTGTTGCAAAACAACAATTGTGTGATTTCACAGTGCGACTCTCTAGTGCACCATGCTCCTCCGGAGAAGGCACATCTTTCACCGTACGCATTCCCTCCGGCTACGAATCACTGAATAATCGGTTCCTAAATGTTACAGACCTGTTAAACGCCGGTGGCCAAGGCTTCGTATGTTATCACTGCAGAAGAAAGAAGGCTGGCTGATGGGGTTTTGCCAGATCTTGCTGCCGCTACAGCCACAGAAAACAGGCTTGCCCTCCCACCCACCTAGCGCACGACACCTTTGTACCGTTTCCGCTAAATAACCCGAATGTATTTCCCTAGGCCAGCGGAGATCTGTGAGCAGACTTCCCAGGAGTGTCCATGAAACACAGGAGCCATTTTTAGTATTTTCTAAGAACGTCAAGAGGGCCAGGCTAGCTCTGAGCAAAGACCTACCTGGTCCCATAATTCTCTCAACACTGGAGCCAGCCGATTGCCTACAGGGAGCCCTGTTGCCTCCTATCAGCTGATCTAAGGAGACAGATCTTCTCTGATACTAAAATCCATACACAGCCATCCTGAATAGCCAACCCCAAATCTTTTAAGAGCCTCAAGTCATGATTCTTCGCAGATACTAGGCTTTAAGAAGCAATAAACATTCTCTCACGTATCATGACGCATCGGAATGCACAGGAGCAAAAGCAGAACAAAACATAAGCACGCACAGAAAGACGCACACACAGAAACCTGCAGGACGTTCTTACTTTAGACAGATTTCTCTAGACACAAACAGTTATGGAAGCTCAAGCACAATGTGTTCTCGCTTGACCTCCATAGCAGGGGAAAGTTCTCCTAGGCTTGCAGCGTGGAGCAACCAAAGGGCTGGGAGAATTAAAGGATTTGGGGTGGGGGAGATTCCCTGGAACCTTTCAAGCCTAAGAAGGTGACGGCATCTTTGAACAACTTCTCAAGTAGGGGGGGAAATCCCCATGAAGGCATCAGGACCTTCAAAGCCAGCTAGATGATGGAAACTTTTTATTCCTAGTTTTCTTGTTGCAAATATAGTCATACACCCCAACCCCAAAATCTAGACAAAACTAGACTCCTTGCATTTATTGATTGTATCAACGAAGCCCAAGGAGAAGCTGGCTATTGCTATAGAGTTCAAAAATGTTTGTTTTAAAGGTTCGAAAAACCCACACACGGATATCATATACTTTTCCAAATGCATGGCGCTCTGAGTCTGCTACTGAGAGATTGCCAGGATATGGTTATACCACCAAATAATCTGTTGCGAGAACAGAAAACTGATCAAAATTGGGGGAGGGAGGGGAACCACAACCATCAGTGCGACACCTAACAAGAGACATCAAGAGAACTCGCAACCTGGAGGAGAAGCAGATACACACATGCAATGGTAACAAGCTAGCCGGCTGTGCATGGACTTTCTCGTCATGAACAAAAAAAAATGTGCCACAAGGAGCTCAAGAGAAGCAAAACAAGGAGCTACCAGGGGCTGGTTGAGAAGGGAATTAACAATTTGGGGTACAAAAGGGAAAATATTCAGGTAGCTCTTCGGCTTGTGAGACAATGCTCTCAAGCCATCCAGAATTTTAGAATACTAGCCTTATACTGTAATCCCGGCTCTTCTGAACCTCACCCTGAGGACCATACATTGTATATTACAATTTTGCTGAGGTTTGTATTGTTAGGTCAATATATTTTTTTGGTTCTTTGTATTTCTTTTCCTTTCTGATTTAAATAAATAAAATTTAAAAAAACAACTGGGGGCCCTATAAAGATCTTGAACCGATAGGTACCAATTTGAACGGAAATTTTCCAACACTGCATTTCGCTTGTGGTTACAAAAGTGTTTTTAGAGGCCCAGAGGGGGGGAAAAAGAAGCTTCTGAACGGAAAAGAGCCACAGGCTTCTTAGAAGAGCGGCTGGCGGCACACACATGCAGGCAAAGCATGACTCTGCAGAGACAATATTGAAGAGGAAGGAAAAGCCAGGGTGCCATTACCCACCAAATGGGGTTACTAGGTTTATGTGGGCCGTCAGATTAGTGGCGGTAGCGTCCCAGGCAGTAATGGCTGCCAGCTGTTGTCCTGGGTTGACAGCATTGGGAAGAGACAGAACACAAGGCGTCGGATGAGAAAGAAACGCTGCTCGCTTGTAAAATCCACAGAGAGATAGGTAGGAATGGGAAACTAGGAGAGAAGGTGATACCCTGTCTGCAGAACTGTGTTTAACCTCAAATTCTGCACAAAAGCTGGGAATGTAAATAATAACCTGGGCATGGAAATTATTAGACGGCTGTTTTGTTGTGTGTTTTTAAAGGTAAGTTACTAGACCTCATGGTTTCTGACAATATGCTTCTAAGCATGTGACCACCGTTCCCTCTAAGGTGCGAACTCACGCAGAGCTCCATCGGCATCCGGTGTCGATCCCGATTTACTTCCAGGTTTTGGATGAAAGCCCACCCCAACCCGCACACATGGGGTCAAGGCAAGGCTCCTGTGCAGCAGGAGCTAAGATTAGAGGGAACGCAGCATGAGACCATTGCCCAGAGTTTTCAGAAGCCAGAAAGGCTAGTCAGTAAGACTGCCACACATCATGACCGTCCCACAGCCAGTCTGCCCTCTTCTTGAATTGCAGGATATAAGATGCAGAAATTACACAAGGCGATTTCGATATTTTTCTTTTAGTGCAGAGTACTTAGGGGCCCGACGTGACAAGAAGTAATAGGACCAACTCGGCCAACCTCAAAACCATTTACCTAATTAAAATTTAGAGCTGGCGAACCAGTGGAAATCCTGTGAATTATCAAGTCCTGTCAAGTGGAGAACTGAACTCCCAACCTCACGCCGCCCCATTAAAAATGGCATCTTCGTTAAAGCAGGCTATGTCAGCTGCAAAGAGTTAGTATTTCATTTAGCCAAAAAAATGTAAGAAGACCAAGACAACAGACTTCTGCATTTAGCCTTTGGGAGCAAACCAGTAAGTATGACTTTTTTTAGCAGAGTCCAGCACGCTGTGGGGGACATGAGCTAAGGAGACCCTAAGGAAGGATAAAGTGGCATACAAAGTGAAACAGGAAGAAGTTCCCCAAACTGAAATATCTGAAATTTTCATCTGTCTTACAAGAAGGATGAATGAGACCCTGACAAAGCAAAGTCGAGACGTCCACTCTGCCAGCGCCTGAGCCTTCAACGGTCCTCACCTATAGGCAGCCGATTTTTTTTGTTGGCTGGCGTGGTCGCAGGAGAAAGCTGCGGGGTGTTGTAAGGCGTCATTTCTAGGCTGCTGCTTTTGCCAGGCTTGTGCTGGGGTAAGTTCAGCAGCAAGCTTTCCAGAGCCATCCGGTCTTCCTTCAGCTGGTCGCCGGACATGACGCTGCGCATAAAGCTGACCTAAAAACAAGGAGGTTGTCGGAAAGCCGCAACGTCAACTGGGCTGCATACGCAACCAGGTTTCCCCTCTTCCTTCAGCCTCAAAGGATTTCAACAACTTACCAGGGCGGTGAGCTGTCCGTAGGTCATGTACACGACTGTCCGGCTCAGCCCTTCCAAAAGGTTGACCGAGGACATGGGAGGCGTTTCCACCGCCCGCCCGCTAATGACAACATCTAAGAACGCAGCCACGCAAGCCTGTAAGTTGCAAACGGAGACCGTTAAGCACTCTCAATAGAGGGTGCAAGCTCTGAGGAGGCAGGAAGGGCTGGTTTTCCACCAGCTCCCATATAAATATATTAAGGAGGAGTAAGAACAATATGAAACACAGGCCTTGCCAGAGTATGCTTCTTAAGTGCAACGATTCTGTATTTAACTAGGGCTGTTCCTGATGTTTATACACTGCCACCTGGTTAAATTCACTCCCTTCCTCGGCCACCACAGGCGGGTCTTTTCCCAGATATCCTTTCAAGGTTTTTATGGATATGACGTTTTTGCTTAAGGAAGGAAGGAACAAAACGTCTGCGTGTCTAGAGGCACACAGAGGCTTGACAACAGGTTCCAAAATCTTGGCACTTACTTTGTCGAATTTGCCCAGCTGGTTCTTGGTGCGAGGATCCCCTTCTTCGGAACTGGTCATGGCCAACTGCTGCAAGAGCCGCCCAACCTACCAAGGGAAGAAACCGGGTGAAGACATGATGTGAACAGCAGGGAGACCCACACAGAGAGAAAATCATCATCTCCTTGAAGCTGGAAGCCTTCAGCTTGCTCAGGGCTTGAAATGCAGCACGCAGCTTTTGTTCTCCAAGGGAACTTATCTTTAAATGGAAATGCCCATTCACAAAAGAAGCCTGCAAAAAAGAAACTTTTGGATGCCCTTGGCTTTATCGGAAACAACACTACAGCAGCAGCACAATGATATAAAGGAACTTAGGGGCCGCCCGGGTTCTTTCAAGCAAACAGGGTGGAGTGAGGATTGTCACAGTATGTGTTATCTGTAGCACGAGCAAGGCTGAAAAAAACTACTGCAAGTGCCTGGGCTTTTCAAGATTTGTTAACAGCAACTGGGAATACGTTTGCCCTGGTCTGTATACCTTTTATGACTTAACATCCTCACCGATGGCTGGCTCTTTGGAATCTAAAATATGTCTCTGGCCTTGGGAGCAGGTTTGACAAACATCGGCCTGGCCAAAGCAAGCCAGAGAGAGAGAGAGAGAGGACACCTTAAAGAAGCCTAGCTTAACGTGAATGAATCACTCATGCTGATGCTTGCAGTTTGAGCTCATCCACTTTGTTTCTCCTGGAGGTAAGAGACTCTAAATCAGGAGGGGGAAGGAACCTCGGGCCTTGAGGGCAAAGCTTGCCCTCCTGGGCTTTCCCAGAAGGCCATAACTCCTTCCACACAACACCACTGCCCATTCACAAAAGAAGCCTGCAAAAAAAGAAACTTTTGGATGCCCTTCGGTCTGGATGCAGAGAGAGAGAGCGAGAGAGCGAGAGCGAGAGAGAGAGAGAGATTTCTAAGCTTTGGAATGGGATTTTCCCCTCTAAATTATAAAAAGGTTGAAGCACCTCTTCTAAGGTTTATTTAGGAGCTGTAGGAACTGTGAACAAACCAGTGGTTCCCCTCCCCACCCTTGGCTAAAACAGACCACAATCTGCTTAGCGTGATCTGTAAAGCAGAACGTCCAGCTTGACTCTCCCCAGAGGAGACCATGAACAGACTCTGCTTTGTAACTCTGGCTTACATAGGATAGCCACACCGGAGTCCCTCACTCACAGACCTGCAGTTTCTCCAGCCACTCCTGTTTGCAGAAGGAAGTAAATGGGAGTCATGGAGCACGCTCACACCAGTCAAGCACACACAAAAAAGCCAGGCTTACTAGTACAGCCAAATCATCCCACTGAGAGAGGAAAAAGAACAGAGAAAACGCTCCCAGTTATTAAAAGCTCCTCTGCCTGGTTGTATGCAATGACTTCTTAATCACTACAGGAAGGCAGATGATGGATCAGCAATCTGCTAGTAGATCTTTAGGATTTTGGAGCAGATCGACAAGTTTTCCTTCCCTGAAATAACACTGGTGGGATAGATCACTCCTATGTGATCCACTCAAAATGAATTCCAAGGCTCAAAATTAGCTCCTCTTAGGTTAATTTTTTGGAACTTGTCGTTTTGACTTATATATTGCGCTACAGTGCTTAGAGCATCTTCTGAGATTTAAGCACTATACAGCATAATTATGCACACAGCAATTTGCACACACACACACACACCCAGCAAGCTTGGTACTCAATGTACTGAACTCAGAAGGATGGAAGGCGACTTGATCCATCTCACGTCATAAGCAGAGGCTCGACTGCAGTACTGCAGTTTAATCACTCCACCATGTGGCAATTCAGAGAAGGGATTTGCAATTAGTATAGAGGAAATGTTTGATCATCTTTTCCCACCCCTAACTTGGCACAGTGGGCTAGATCATCATGTTGTAGGGTTTTTGTATGGAGCAGCCTACATTTGACGTGAGACCCAGCCGTGTCTTTTGATAATTCACGACAAGAGATCAGCATCAAGACTAAAAGACTGTGATGTCCAACGGTCAAGCACAAAAAAACATTTAACTTAAGAGTGTGTTTTAAAGGCTCATGTTATACCTGCATCAGGTTAAACCTTGCCACTTCATTGATGGGGGCGTCAGAGATAATCCCATACTGTTCCGGGTTGACCACCGCAGGACAAATGAGGCAGGCGAGGAGGAGGTCCGTACACATGGCCCGCACTTCGCCAACGTCCAGCCTGTCCACACAGGAGAGCGTTTTGTACATCTGGGACACGATCCACCGCAAGCTGTGCGGGAAGCAGTAGGTGTTCTGCTTGAGGTAGCCAATGAACTTGTTCACCAGCGCCACCAGCTTGGCCTCGTTCGACTCCACCATCTCCTGGACCTTTTGCCGGAACTTCTCCGTGCCTTTCTCCCCAAAGAGCTTCTCCTGCTGGGCGGGGGAGAAGCGGTCGATCAGTTTGTTCGGATCCGTTTCCAGGTGGTCTTCGTCCTCCACCAGCAGCTGCATGATGGGCTCGTGCAAGGTGGCGGTGAGGAAGAGCTTGGCGGGAAACAGCCCCTCGGAGAAGAGCTTGAAGAGGATGCTGAAGGCGCAGGTGCCCCTCCGCAAAAGCCGCCGAGGGTTGTCGCTCTCCTTGAGTTCAAACTCAATCAAGTACCGCAAGACCTGGAGGAGGTAGCTTTCATCTTCCGGCATGATGCAGTTGCCATAAATGGAAGTGAAGACCGTATGGATGACGCTTGGCGTGTTCTCCTGGTTGAGCTTCTCTCCTGCAACCAGGCAGGAGGCGATCAGGCGAGGGTTCTCCCGCAGCCGGTTCAGGAATTCCCCGTAGGCCGTCTCTTGGAAGCCCAGCTGCTTGTAGCCGTCCACAAACTGGGTGTCCTCCAGGACTTTCGCATGCTGGCAGCATTCGGCCGGGGACGCTTCCGCACTAAAGGAAAACAAAAACAGGGAGGCTGCTCACTTCCACCACACTTGAGAACGGGGGCTTCCCAAATCAAAGGAAAGAACCACACCTAAACCTCACCGGGCACAAGCTTAAGCCACAGGTAACACACAGGTAGAGACAGATCCTCCCCTGAATCACAAAGTGAAGACAGACCACAAATACAACACATAGCTAGGTTTTCCTCAAGCCTAGCAATTACATTCCTCAGTGCCCCTCTTTCTTGGTCTTTTCATCTCACTTAAAGAAAGCACTGTTAAGGCCGCCCGCAGTGGCATTATGTGACAAATGTACCACCGCAGTAGCATAAAAGATGCATTTTTAAATCAGTTTCACTGCTCTAAAATACAATATATGCTATATCCTGAGTAGTCCAGGTTCAACCTCTAAGATCCCGAAGTAGACTGATGATGACTGATGACACGGAAAATCACAAGAGCCAGTGTAGGGTTGATAATACTGTTAGAAAGACCAGCTGTACATATTTCTACATGAGAATAGATGCATGTGCATGTCTATATGCCAATATGTGTTATGTATCCTGTGGACCAGCACAAAGCTATGCTTTCTATATGCGGACCAAGAGTTCAGAAAGATTTGAAAGTGGAAACTTGTAACATGGTTCCTGCAGTGCTTCAGTATACAAAACACTCTAAATCTTTCAAGAGGAAGAGAGATCAGCCTTTCCATTTCTAATGGCTCATCGGCTACCTCGTTATGATGAGTCGGTCCAAGTTAATCCTTTGCTGCTTGGAGATCCATGCCGTGCGGTACAGCTTTTCGGCGGTCTTCAGCACTTCAGCGTTGAGCTTCTGGATCAGCTGCTTTTCCGAGTTCACGTAGAGCCGCTCCTGCTTGAGGTGATGAGCTAATGTGTGGATGTCCAGCTTCACCATCTTCGATGGAGACAGCGGGAGAGTGGGGTGATCACTGGAGAGGGAAATGCACAGGATCAGACCGGCTTTTGCTTTACAAAACTGATTAATTCACAGTGCCTTTTCGTGGCAGGGGCAACGTGACTGTGGAACTCCTTCCCACTAGAGTCACCGAGCTTCCTCATCTCATCCACCAAGAAATGGCAAAAAACATTTATTCATGCTAACTTTTCATCAGCGCCTACTTACTGTTCACATTTTTGCTAAAGTTTTAGCCAGCCTCCTCTTAACGTTTACTTGTGATAGGCAACCTCACTACTCTCCAGATATTTCGGGCTACATTTCCCAACAGCCTCAACTTGGCCATGTGGACTAGGGGTTACGGGGAGGTTTCATTTCAAAGCACTGGGAGCCACCAGTGTTTTAAATGACTGTTTTTTGGCTTTATAGCGCACAATTGTGTTTTTTGAAAATTTACTGTACATTCTTTTACTTTGTTATAGCAAGACATTGTGCTCATTGTAAAAATAAAACAGGATCCATACATTAATCTAAAGTTAAACGTATCAAATCTGAAAATGTACATACCACAGAGATTTCTAAGACACAGCAATTCTGTCACTCTGACTCCTCCTTGTTTTAATATTTGAAATGAACAGCCCTTTAGAAAGCAGGAACTGCTCTCTTCAAATCCATCCCCTGCCCCAAAAGATTTGCATGAGTATTCATTCATAGAGATTGTTTTTTAAACAGGAGTGATATGCAAACACTTAGGGGCTCCACCACCACGATCAACAGTAAATCCTGGTGTTCCACAAAGGAACGATTTAGTGATTCAGCATTTTTATGGTAATTAAAACTTGGAATACATACTTCCACAACACTGTGTGGGATTGGTTTTATTCACTTGCACAGAGAAAAGGAAAGCTTTTCAGGGCGACTTCATACAAACATGCCCAAGAGTGGGGGAAAAAAACAGCACAGTGCATTTTAAGAGAGAAACATCGGACAGTTATACAGACATTGACATTGCTCTCTTGCACTGCCTATGCAGCTCACACCAATTTAAAACAAAAACAGCAATTAAAACCACACATTCTGTTTTAAAAATGCAACAGGAAACAAGGGCAAAGAACATTTCGAAGGAAAAGTCCGCCGGAAGAGGAGCACCCACTGTAGTCTAGACTCCATCGCACCCATCTTCCCTCCCTTGCATATTTATTTGTCCTTATTTCCCTCTTTTACCTGTAATCTGCCAGCCGTCATAGTTCAGTGTAGCAAGACCGGCGCTGTTCATTAAAGCAAATGAGGAACAGGAAAACGAGGTTCTGAAAGGATGTGCTGCTTCAGAAGAGCTCAAGGCGGCACATGAGTAAAAGTGATACTTGGATTTAATAAAACAGGAAGCCGAGGGAAAAGAAAATGCTGTTAAGAGATGACTGTACTCTAGTCTCACTTTCACCATCATTGGCTCAACAGATGCTAAGAGAACAGCTTTGCCCGAGAAAGCTTCTGTCCTAAGATTACTCTTCAGCGTAAGTGCCTTCCAGGGTAAATGTTACACATCGTTTACCCACTTGTTGAAGAGAGGCAATGTCTGTATTTACACTGGAATATTCAGTAACTACACTCTTAAGAGAAAAGGGTACGAAAAAGATCGGTGGCTTCTTTGGAAAAAACACTTCAATAAGGGTTGGCTTATGAGTTCAAGTAAGATAAAGCTGCTTATTACTTTTTTCCCCCTTTTATGCATAACTATGTAATGTCTGTTTTTGTAGTCTGGATGTTTCAAACCACAACCCATATGACAACACTATCAAATCTCAACAGCAAAGAGAAAGAGTTCTATCTGAACTTTTAGTCATGTTTACAGCAGGCTCTAATTTTCATTCCACCCATCATGCAGTTTTTTTTTTGGGGGGGGTCATAGTCCAAAAACACAAACCTGCACGTTGGCTGGATTAGCAAAGGTTTATGTAGTTCCAACAGTCCATTCACACAATAGCTGAGCTACGAAGTTGCTTGTGGGGAGTCAGCCAGCAGGGGCTGAGTGTAACTGCCCACTCCAGAAAAATACACTATTTAAATGCACTTCTCACCTCCGTACGCCACCCAGCCTGCTCGCTCGCTTGCTGGCATGCAATCCCCAGCAGCCTAGGGCTAGGGCTTCAGTACAACGCTGACATATCTGTTTAGACAGCTTGCTGTGGAAATGACATTTTCAATGCGACACATCAAAAGAGGAGGGAATGAGATGCCGGCATTTAGAGATCAAAAAAGACTAAAGACGCTAAATAGGCTAACTCAGGCTTCCCACTTCTTCACCCTCCAGGCGGTATAAAGGACGCCAGCTATGCAACGAAGCCCACCCACCACCCAAGGAAAGCTAGGATTATAGGTCTCTGCTAATTTATATGTAATTATCAGCAAAACTGCCCATCACGGTGACATGTACGGTAAGAACAAAGGCTTATTATTTATAAGGTATACCATGGCATCAGCATACCTGGCACATGATGGAGCTTCACTGCAAGGGGGGGGGAGAAAGACAGGTCCTTTCCAATTAGGGCTTACTGTTTTCAATGGACAATGGTGTGTGTGGGGGGGAGAGAACAGAAGCGAGGAGAAAGGCCAGGCTGAGAAAGATGAATGGCCAGCAAACACAGTTCTGCACATTTCAGTCGCAAACAATCAGGAAGGAAAATTAAGGGGGAAAGGCTACAGGCCAAGAGCTTTTAAAAAAAAAAAGTACAGAAAAGAAAAAAGTTGACAGCAAAGACAAGCTTCTCATTTATTTTGAAAGACAGAAGGCAGGGTTTGTTCTCGGGTTAAGAGGCTAAGCGCTTCTCTCTTCTTTCAGGACTTCTCTTTATCCACAGGAAGTGAATGGAAACCATTCCCGTGCATGTAGGATTCAAGTAGGGTGGATCTTGCCCGTCTCATCGCCTTTCCAGCTTTGCTGGTCTATCATGATCGCTGGGATGCTACCGGCCAGGGAAAGGGACCCAAGCAACGTCACCTTCCCAATTCCCAGCCACCAGGATTCAGAATTGTTCCTCTGTTTCTTAAGCCCTCCAGGAAGGACGCAGTGTTCGGAATGATGATGAACAGGAGTACACAAGAATACATTAATGCATGTTGGACCAGCTTCTTTGTTCTTTAGCACAATAACCCGCCTGGACGCAATGATTCAGAGTCCGCGGTGTTTAAACAAGAACAGCAAGCAATGAGGATTGGGATCACCAACTCCTTCCTACCCCCTAGCAAAGAAACCTCTTGCAAGCCCCTCAGAAAGCTTGAGAAGTTTTCCATTTCCTATCACAGTAGCCAAATGAGGTGGGTCTAAAACAAAGCGGGGCAAAGCAAAGTAGGGGAAAGGAGTCCATTTATATCAGACATCTCTCAACACAAAGAGATAAGTCTTCCCCTATTGTGCTAATCCAACCCAGTTGAAGCGATGTATGCAGACTGCTGTGCTTTTCCCTTTGCAACATCGAGGCTGATGATTTTTAACACTTTTGAGAAATTTGAGCCCTTCCTAAAGGAGATTTAACTTCCATTTCAATTCCAGTCTGCTTCCTAACACACACACACAAAAGAAATATGCACATGAAGAAACTAGGAACCCATCAGAGAGGAAACTGAATGGCTTTTGTTTTTTAAGAGTACTTGCAAGTGTTGGGGGAAAGAGTAGTGGTAAAAAGTTATCGGACTGCAGGGAGCACCTTGTACTTTGTTACTGGAGCCAGACTCTGAAATATTTGCCTTTTGGCTGGGCTTGGTTATCTGCATGTCGAACAGCACACAATCAGGCCAAAACTAAAATGTGGAGGAGTTTCGGCTACAGGTATAAGTCCTGATGAAGTACAGTACAATATTAGCGTGAACATTACCCAGAAAGTTTAAAACTGAAGCATCTGTCTTCATGTTCAGGAGTGACAAGTAAAGATTTGATACTGGACTTGGAAAAAAATCAGTTGCTTCCACACAGGGATTTTAAATCCCCCCCCCCCCAAATTCTGCAGGTATAAATCTGATATTTCTGATGATTTAAATTTTTAAAAATCTCTTATTTAAGTCATGGTTTAAATCAATTTGTTTTTTTTTTTAATCATTGATTTGCATCTACCCTACTGCAGGTATAGGATGAGCTTCCTGGCACATTTCCACACCAGGACATTAAGAATGAAAGCAGATAAACGGTTCAAAACAGGATGTGAAGATACAGCAGGGCTTGGCCAAGCATAGCAGATTGTGAGTGCTGCGGAAGTCAGCTGATCAGGAGATTTAAGGACATGCCAAACTTTTCCAATTAGAGGGTTCAAATTTGGCTTGAGAAGGCTCGTGGCACCTGGAACAACACACAAATCTCCTGACACTCTAGAAGAGATTCAGGTCTTATGGGTTGGTTGAGATCAACTTGGAGTTTACTCCCAGTTATAAGCAGGCAGAGAACTGCAATCTTAAAATGCACACTCTCTCCTGTCAGGCAACACATTGCAATGGATGTGAGTCACAATTAATGAAAAAAAAAGAGGAAGCAACTTTCTCAGAGGTTCTCTTCCTGGTCACCCACAGTGTGTTCTTATTCACCACAAGCGACCAGACAAAGTGGTTTTCATGCATCAGTCTTCAACTACTGGGGAAATGTCCTGCTACGACAATATTTAACAAGACGTTTAAAAGACAAAATCATCAGCTAATAATGTCATTCTCATTATAACCATAGAGAGCTGAAATTTCTAGTCAGGGGATCAACAACAAATTTGAACTAAATTCTGCACATGAGTAAACAAATGTTCACTCATTTGCACTCTCATCATGACATGAATGCTGCTCCCAGGATAGGGAAGGGTTAACACAATAAATCCGGTATGGTGTGTTTTAGGAGGTACTGAACCAAAACGATCTCTCTTTGCAAGGTTTCTCCTGCAACCTGATGCCTTAAAAAATAGAGGAAGCAAAAGGACTTGCATGTCATTCCACAGACATCAGCTCTGAGGTTTTTAAGAGCAGTGTCAGCTTGTCTCTCAGGCGAAGTCATGTCCCTTGCCC